TGCTTTCTAAGGAGCAAGTGGGAGTGACAACCAAGACACCTCCAGGAGGGCCCGGCACCAGGAAGTGGCCTTGTTCCCAGCCACTGAAGAAGGAGGCGGGTGGAGTCGCCCTGAGGTGGGCCAGAGGAAGGTGCTGGGCCTGGGATGGCTGGGAGGAAAGGCGGGAAGGCCCCAGGCTCCGGGTGGCCTTGTGCCTGCACCAGGAACACCTGGTCTGATGCAACCCGGAGCTGAGCCCATGCCCTGTCCCAAGTCTGTCCTGGGAACCTGGGTCCTCAGCAGGTTCTTAGTATCTTTGTTGAGTCTTGGACTCCGTCTTCACTCATTCCCTTGGAATGAAGATGGACCCTGAGAACTGGCCAGGGGTCCCCCTGCCCACGGGAGGCTGGGTCTGCCTCACGCCACCCCTGCCGCCCCTCACCCCACCTCTAGCTGCGCCCAGCAGACCACAGCGTGCTCCCCGCTCTCTTCAGGTGCTCCTCCTCTGCAGACACCGTCACCCTCCGGGGAAGGCAAGATCCACCCTCTGGCTGACCTTCCCACCCCTCAGCTGAGACGACCTTCCCCCCAGCTCACCGCTCCTTGTGGCCGAGCACAGCTGCTCCCACAGATGCCTCAGCATGAATTTTTAAAAAAGATGCCCTTGAACGAGATGATGTTCAAACCGGGGGGAAAGGGGGTGAGGGGTGCACAGAAACTTAGGATGATTTTTGCAAATTTACTGTAAACCTAAAATTGTTTCCAAAATAAAAAGTTAATAAGCAAAGTTGTTTGTGCCTCCCAACAATCTCAGTGGGCTGGATTCCAGTCCCCACTGGTCCCATGGGTGGGGCAACCTGGGTAGCCAGACCTACTGGCCCCATGAGTCCTGTAGCCCTAGCCCAGGTGAGTAGCCCCAGCCCAGGTGAGTCCCCAAAATGCACACACTGGCTCACGGATACCCCTGGACTTGGCTTCCAAACACCTAGCACAGTCTGCCTCCTGACATGCTGTTGGGAAGGGCTGTGCTGCATGTCTCTGCATCAGTCAGTTCCCCGAGTAGACCCTGAGCCACCGGTTCACATGCTGGGGCCGGGGAACGGGTCAGGGAAAAGAGGAAGCCCAGCCATGCCGCCTGATCCTAGGCACAATCCCAGCCTGGCCTGACCCCTGAGGAGCTCTGGGCTGTGGACACACTGCAGAACTGGACCAGCCCAGAGGCAGGGACTGCACTTTCAATCTTTGGTGGTGGACTGTGGGCCGTGACACTGGGTACTTCTGTCCCTACACCTGCAGGCAGAGCAGCGTGTCGGGCAGGTGCGGCGCCTGGGGGTGTTGGGAGGAGAGTGCAAAGCAGAAGGGTCTCCGAGAACACGGGTCAGAACAGTGGCTCAAGGTCCAGACCACGGACAGGAAGGGAGGGCAGAGGCAGAGTGGGGACAAGCTGCAGCCTACAGGTTTGGGCTGCAGCCCAAGAGAATTGGGGGCAAAGCCCAGGTCAGCTCCTGTGGCCTCTGACTGTGGTGCGGAGGGTGTCCTGGCCCCTGCATCATGAAGCTGATCACATACCTGCACAGGGTTTGGAAAAGCTGCAGGAGGAGCTGGAGAAGGTAGATCAATATCAGCCCAGCTGCCGGGGACCAAGGAGCTGGGCCAGCAGATATGGTCACCACTCTTTTTCTGTGGGGATGTATTCTGAGAGGCCCAGTGGTTGCCAGAAACCATAGACAGTACCAAATGCTATATATCCTCTGCTGTTTTCTGTACATACATACCTCTGATGATCTTTTTAAATTAAAGCACATTGTAGCTTCTCTTTGGTATATCCAAATTGCCAGCATCACTACTCTTGCACTTTGGAGACATTATTAACATTGAACACAAGTGATACCAGGGCAGTCGGTCTGATAACTGAGACTGCCACTAAGCGACTCATGGGCAGGCAGAATATACAGCGCGGATACACTGGACAAAGGCCCAATTCACTTCTCGGGCTGAACAGAACAGGATGGTGAGACACGTCAACAAGCTGCTCACAATGAAAACTTGTGAATTGTTCATTTCGGAAGTTTTCCATTTTGTATTTTCAGATCACGGTTGACTGCAGGTAACCAAAACTGTGGAAAGTAAAATCAAGGATAAGCAGAGATGCTGGGAACCACAGATTTCAACCAAGTCTTCACTTCACCTTCCAGGCCTTATCCAGGAATCTCTCTGAAGTGTGTCAAAAGATGTCGGGGTTCTAACCCCCAGCACCTCAGGATTTGGAAGTAGTCTGGGTGCACGTGTAGTCAGTTGAGTTAATGAGGAGAATCAGGGCAGGACGGCCCTTGATCCAACAGGACTGTGTTCCTCCTGAGGAGCAGGGCATTTGGACCTGGGCACGTGCAGAGGGAAGATGGTGGGCAGCCAGGGAAGAAGAGGCAGAGCCAGCAGCCACCAGCCAGTCTCACTGGGCTTCGGAACCTGGAAGAGACCGGAAGGACCTGCCTGCAGAGTTCTGCAGGGATCCCGGCCCAGCCAACATCTTGATTTTGAGCCCAGCCTCCAGGACCGTGGGAAAAAAACACTCCTGTGGGTGAAGCCCCTGCATTTTTGGAAATGTCACAGCAGACACTTAGCGAAGGGGACCCAGGGAAGTGTGGTTTGGCTGGTCATGTTGATGCATCCGAAGCTCCACAGCCTCCCAGGTGACGTCACCTCCTGGTAGAGGTCCCTCGGAGCACCCAGCCTGGCCGGGCCACTGTGGCTCCTTGCTTGGGCGAGCCTCCTGGAGACAGAGCAGCAGACTGGACCTGGATAGCTGGCCTGGCTCTCTGGAGCCTCAGGAAGTGTCCAGAGGGCGAGCAGGCCCTCTGTTCCCTTCTCCCCTGTGGCCCGGAGAAGCACCAGGCACCTTCACAGAAGCACGGCTGGGGTGTGCAGGAAGAGACTCGTGCTAGCCCTGGTGGCATGGCAGCACCCGGCCTGGGGGGAGGTGGCCACTCCCAACAGGCTCTGTCCAGCCATCAGCGACACCATGCCCTGGAGAAGCCCCAGCCGGTGGGACGGACAGCCCCCACCCCTTGCCTCCCCATTTCCTCCCAGGGTTAATTGATCGGGATAGTAATCATCCTCCTATGATTTACGGTTTGGAGGGATTAGCAGGCCTCCGCAGAGCTGATAGGCGTTTATTACCTCCTTAGCCATTTAGGTGGAACCCCAGGAACCTCCGCGGTGCACAAAAGGTGGTGAGGGTTTCTGCCAAGACAACGATTAAAATGACTCACTAGCGTGACAGAGTCCCCGGCCGCCACACAGCCAGGAGCATCGGAGGGACGGGCACTCTTGAGAGCCCAGGAATCGGGGTTGTTCCCTGTTGGGGGGATTGGTGGGCCGGCTGCCTTGTGGGGTGTGGGTGTTTGGAGAACCCAGAGGTCCCCACAGTCTGCTCCTTACTGAATCTTCTGCCCGACAAGCACCACCACTGTGCTGAGGACGGGGCTGGGGCCCTGCGGCTGACGCGTAGTAGGCAGACCGAATGTTAATGGATGAAACAGGGCAGAAAGACCACCTTGGAACAACTGACCACCAGGGTTGGAAAGTGGGCCGCGGTGCTTTGGACTGGCCTGGGTTGGCATGCTCTCTGCCCTGCCCTTGCTGTGTGCCTTGGAGAAGTGACCCCTCCTCACCGAGCCTCAGTTTCCCCACCTGTAAAGCGGAGCCGTACCTGGACTTTGATCCTGGGTTGTGGCCAGGGTTCAGGGAGAGAAGTGCCGCGACCTGCGGGACAGCTCAGGGTTCCACCTGCCCAGCACAGGGACCTGCTGCCAATGTCACGTCCCTGCGGGTCTCTTCAGCTGCCACGGGGCCTGCCCAGCTCCCAGCTCCACCCTGTGCGCCTCCCCCTCCCCCAGGCTGCAGGGTCCTGTTTCCCAGGTAGGGAGAAGCGAGGCTCAGGAAGGGTTAAGACAGAGACTCTGCCAAGGTCACACGGCCAGTCAGTGACGTGTGTCCAATTTGAGCCCTAATCTGTCTGAATCTTTGCCTTCGGTATTTACGAATGTGTCTTGCCAGTTGGGAGAGGCAGGAAATGGGCAAAGGCTTCTTACAGAACCACGAACCAAATCTCTCCTGCCCTTTATCTCATTGAATCACCACGGCAGCACTTCAAAGTAGATACTCCGTCTTGATTTATAGCTCCTTGCTCAGAACATGCTAGTCCTTCAGTGGGAGGATCAGACTTGGGGAGGGAGGGAGGCTTTGGAAGCGAACCATGTTTGGGGCCCAGGTCGCTATGGAGCTGTGTGACCCATGGTAAGCTGCTTAACCTCTCTGGGCTTCAGCTTCTCCACTGGATGTCTTGGCATCCGCCTTCCAGGGTGGTCCCAGGCTCAGTGAGTGTGTATCTCTAGGAAGGGCTCTGCCCAGTGCCTGGTCATGGTCAGGGTTGGGCCTCATTTCTGGGGACCATTTGGCAGCAGCAAACTGGCCACCTTGTCATGGCGCGGGGGACCACACTGATCTATGCGGCTTCGCTGCTGGAAACCGGCCACACTGACCTGACCCCACTGATCACTGCAGCCAGCAACACATCTCCCCGTTTCTTTATGGTTTGGAGATGAGTTTATGTCTCCACTATCTTCTCTAGGTGTGTCTGAGAGGCACAAAAGGAAGGAAAGAGTAGTTGAAGGGTTGGAATTCGAAGCCCCCGAGCCTTTGAAGCCCCAGCCAGCCGCCAGCCGCGGTGGACTGCAGTCACTCAGGATTATCAGGGAGAGGAAGGTGGACTCCAGACAAAGCCCTTACCAGGGCGAGGGAAAGTATGAGAGGCATTTGGTCAGATGCCTCGGCGCCCGGCCTGCCCTGAGCGCTGGCCAGCCGGCTCCCCACTGCGCGGGCCTCCCCACGCCTGGGAAGTTATTGAGTCGAAAATAATTCAGGTTGCTAAGTGATTTCGCCCCCTGCGGAGCCCCGAGGAAAGGAATCCTGTCGTTGTTTAATTAAAAAATGAAGGGAAAGAAGGAGGAAGAGAGGGAAGGAGGGAGGGAGGGAGGAAACGTGGGATTTGCCCGTGGACGGCCCGTTTTGGGGGACACCTCTTCCTATCACCTGCCATTGCCCTTGCTCCACAGGTGCCTCCTCCCTGCCCTGGGGGAGAAGGAGGCCTCACGGGCTGACGTCTAAGGGGACGAAGGGACCCAGCGAGAGTCAAGCAGGATTCTGACCCAGGGCCGGCTCCAGCTTCTCGGGTCCTGTGTCCGTGGGGACATGCCCCGTGCACTTGCTGGACTGTGATCTTACTTATCTGCAAGACCCACAGAGCCTGGTCCTGCCCGGGTGGAGGCAGCCCACCACCACCTTGGAAGGTCATTTGGAGGGCGGCACTTCCATAGGCCCTGCCCCGGGCGGTGAGCAGGGTGCGTGGCGGGCTGGAGGTGCGCACGTGTCCGTGAGTGGAGCTTCCGCAGCAGCCACCAGGCCACAGTGGTGCATCTGTGCGTGCTCCCGAGTCCCCGCCGCAAGCAGAAGCTGTGGGACTGCCCCTGTGTGTGGAGCAGGAACCCGAGGCTCCTGGGGCGCAGGGCACGGGCCTGGCGTGTTCCCGGGGGGCCAGAGCAGCCAGCCTGGCTTGAGAGTCTGGGCCCTTGACCGCCTATCAGTCAAGCATCGGGTATCTGCCTTCGTCTGTTCAGGAGATGTTTACGGAGGTTTTTAACAAAGGTGGTGATGAGGAAGTCACTGTCCACTCGCTGGGGCTGGAGAGAAAGCCCAGCAGGTCAAGGAGAGGTAGGGCAGAGGGCGGCCCTGGAGGGCAGGGGAAGTGGGCTGTTTTGATAGGGAGGCCTGCGAGGTGACGTTGGAGGAGGGGTCAGGGCGGCTGGATGTCTGGGGTGGGTCAAGAGAGGGAAGGGCAGTCAGAGAGCGGGGCAGGTGCGGACTGCAGTGTGGACTTGCAGGGCTGGGGTGGCCTAGGCAGAGGTAGCCAGAACCCTGCGGGTGGAGGAAGTGGGCGGAGCCAGCATCCCCTGAGGTCAAGGCAGCGGGACACGGTGGGCCCCACATGCAGGGGAGAAACCAAGTCGACTGCAGAGAAGGTTCTAGAAGCCCAGCTCCCTCACCGGCAAAGTTCTCTTCACCCTGGCGCCTTCCTCGAGCATCCATCAAGCGCTACCGCGTGCCTAGCGCGGACACCTTCCACTTCCCCTCACCAGCGCCTTCGGGACCGGTGATCCGTGGGTGTGGAGAGGGCGGGCCCCAACAACCCACCAGGGTGGTCCCCAGCACTCCAGGCCCCCTGGAGCCTGCAGAGGAGCCGCTACACCCTCAAAGCAGCCAACACCTGTTGACCATGTCTCGGGGCCAGGAGTGCGCCGAGCAGTGGACACTGTGGTCCACTCCCTGGACCCCAGGGGGGGGGCCTTTCTCACTCCCTTTGAAGGGATGAGGGATCCCAGGTGTGGAGCCGAGAGGCAGCGAGGGGCGCGGCTGCCGGGGGTCCTGAGACTTGGACGCTGCCTCTCACCCCGCTCTGTTCACAACCCTCCCTACAGCCTTCCCCAGCTTCCTGGAGGAACAGAGGGTGGTGAATAAATCAATGTGTCAAGTGCGACGCAGGTTCCACGGCAGACGGTCCCTGGCGGTGGAAGCAGGTGCGTCTCCGGGGTCGCGGGGGAGGCTGAGCCCGAGCAGAGCTTGGTGAAGGGCCAGCGCTGCCCCCGCAGGCTGCACGTGAGCCCCCCGTCACTTACGGACTTCACAGGACACGGCTCCGCGTGATTTATCCCTCTCAGAGACGGTGAAGTATCGTAACGTGAATTGGACTCCATCTCCCTGTGTAGCTGAAGAAGATTTAGTGCCACGTACAGGTGAACCCCAAAGCCTTTCTTCTGAGAGCCACAGGCTGCCCGTGGTCCGAGGCGCCTGGGAGGGAGTTGCGCTTCTGGGGGTCAGAAGGCAACTTGGCCTTCCCTGACCTCCGAGCCCCGAGGCTCCAGGTCCTTCCACCCTGAGGTCGGCCGGTGCTTTGAAGGGTCTGGGCACCTCCTCCAGCCCAGGTTCTGGGCCCCAGCCCTGTAGACGTGTGGGCAGACCCCTCGCTGTTGGGAGCTGTCCTCTGCCGCTCAATGCGTTAGCCGTGCCTCCACCCCCGCCCCGCAGATGCCCTCTTCCCACCGTGACAACCAGAAATGTCCCCAGACCTTGCCACACATCCTCTGTGGGGCACGATCATGCCCTGCTGGGGACATCCACCTAGATGTCACTCCTGGGAGGCACGGGGCGCACTCGGAACCTCACTGACAATTACAGGGGCAACGTCTCTTGTCCACGTGGCCACTGGCTTTCAGGTGCCACCTGGAGGCCCTCAGTGACGGACCTCTGCCCACTAGGGCTTCGTGGGGTGTGGAGCAGGAGGCCAGCTCCTGGCCCAGTGCAGGGGGTGGCCGGTGCCCAGGGCCTTTTCCTCCCTCTGGGCTCCAGGGTCTTCCTGAGCCCGAGGCCTCCAGACAAAGGAGGCGGCGTGACTCCCCGCGTGGTCGAGAGCGGGGCAGGCCACACATGTCGCTCCACTTCACGGGCCTGCCTGGGCAGTTTCTGGGAACCCCTGTCCCCCCAGACGATGTCTGGCGTCACCGGGCGTGCGTGCGTGCGTGCGTGTCTTGGTGTGTGCGTGCGTGCAAGGCACTAACACTTTACAGGCACTAATTATTGAAATTGGAGGGACAGTCCTGCCTCACCCAAGCCCTTCCCCTTTTCCATCTTAGACAAACAAAAGGGCCCGCTCTCCTCTGTGGCGGGACCACCAAGGCTGAGCAAAGGGCCGCGGCCCCTCCCGTGGGCTCCCTCGCGCCCTGCCCAGCTTGGCTCTTTCAGGGCGTCTCAATGAGCGGCCTTGTTGAGCGTCCGCTGAGGCCCAGGCTGGAAGGGACCATTAAACACAGTTTCATCAGAACAAAAGAAGTTTTGTTCTTATTGTCCCCCGGCTGCAGTTTGGACGCAGCAGCTGAAAATCTATCTGGACCAAGCAGCAAAGCCGAATCCAGCCGGGTCTCCGAGTCCTGGCCTGGGCAGAGCTGTCTGGACAGATCCTTGGAGCAGATAATTTACGGCTGAAGCAAAACACAGGCAGAGGCCTTTTTATTAGGCCCAAGTGTTTTCTATTAAAAGCCTTCGGAAGCCCCTGGAAGCTGGAGCTCGGGGCGATCGCCTGTGTGCACAGAGCCCCCACCCGAGACCCTGGTTTGGACGCTGCTCCCGTCTGTGGGGACAGTGCCCACGGGGCAGATGCCTGTGGAAGGAGAGGACCGTGGAGTTCCAGGGCCTGCCCTGGAAGCGCCGTGGGCGGGATTTTCTGCTGCTGAGAAGTGCCACCAGGCGGGGGCATTGGTGGCGAACCTCCAGAACCTTCCGGATGCAGAGCTACCCCAGAGGGGAGCTGCTTGGGTGTCGCACGGGAAAGTGGGGGTGTGCGGCCAGCTCTGTGGGTCATGCGACAAGGTCAGTGCCGATCATCTTTCGGGCAGACTCCCCCCGCCCGCCCCGAAGACGTCATTTAAAATGTTCTAAGTCGGTTCTGGGTGGCATTGGCCGTCCCTGTATTGGCAAAGGGGAGGTCTTGAGGGGGACTGGGTTCTGGAGATCCTCTCGAGTGACCTCTGAGTTCTCTGTTCAGATGTCCAGATGGTCATCCTGAAGCTGCCGGCTTCGCGGGCTGGGCAGGGCCTAGTACAGTCCAGAGCCACTTTCGTTCAGGCTCCTGGGTGAGTTCAGAGGGGTCAGAGGGACAAGCCACGAAGGCGGAGGAGGGCCCGCAAGAACTAGCCAGAGAGCGCCGGGTGCTGAGCCATCCTGCCTGATACGGAGTAAAAATCCCAAAGATAACTCCATGCCGGCAGGAGTCGCGAGACTTCCATCCGGGCACCAGATGGGCAGAGCCAGCTCCGCTTCCCCTGAGGAATTTGGAAGTGCCCACGGAGGAAATATCTTTTTATCGTTTTGGTCCTGGGGATTGAACCCAGGAGCACTTATCCACGGAGCCGCGTCCCCAGCTCTTTTTATTTTCATTTTGAAACAGGGTCTCGTTACGTTGCTCAGGGCCTCACTAAGTTGCTGAGGCTGGCTTTGAACTCCCCATCCTCCTGCCTCGGCCTCCCCAGCCCTGGGATTGCAGGTCCCATGGCGCGTGGCTGAGGAAATGTCTTCTGTGCCTCTAGCGATCAGATATGATCCTGAAGAGGGTTGTGACACTTCCTGTGGGTTATCTCAGGGACTCTCCGAGGCGACACGCAGGAGATGAGCAAGAGGAGGAATTCTGCCCGAGATGCAGGAAGCTTTGGGACACCGTGGGGTCACCCGGGAGTGGCGGGTTCTGGTTCAGGCCCAGGGGGTTCCGGCCACAGGTGGATCGCAGGGGTCAGTGCAGGGCTGGACAACATTTCCTGTAAAGGGTGGGATTGTCGATCTGTTCTGGCTCTGTGGACTGCGAGGTCCCGGTCATGACTTCTCACCTGACATTGTAGGAAAAGAAAATCAGCCACAGAGAACATGTAAGCAGAAAAGCAAAGACCACGATTCTCCAATGAAACCTTTCAGACGAACCCAGGCAACTGCAGCTGGTCCTCGGCCATTTGCTGGCTCCTTGTCCAGTGAGGGACCTGGTCCCTGCCTCGGATGGATGCTCGTGGTGAGCAGAGGCAGCCGCTGGTTGCTGACCTGGCATCCTTTCTCCTCTTTCCTGTCTACCACAACTGGCACCGTGCCAATTAAAAAGGCTCACCCTTCTGCCTTCCTTGCAGCTAGGCGGGCCTGTGTGATCCTGTGCTGGCTGAGATGTGAGGATAAGATGTGATGATATCAAGAAAGGCCATTATTTTCTTCAAACAGTGGGACAGATTCAGCCAGCAGTTGCCTCTCATCCTTCTTCTTTTTGCCATTCATTCTTACTGGAAGGGTGAGGTGATACCTGGAGCTGGAGCAGCCACACTGCATACCATAGGCCAGGAATAGCCAAGCAGTAAGCTTAAGAGGAGGAGGGTACCTGCAGCTCTTTCCAAAAAAAAAAAAAACTGCATAAGTCTTCCTCCTTGTAGAATCCCCGCATGGAAAAAAGTAAATAAACAATCAGACCCGCCAGTTGGCATGACGGGCAGGTTTCTGTTACAGCCAAACACCATTCTCTAGATTGAAATCCTGAGCTCAGTGCTCTGCACACGGTGAACGCGGGACAAGCACTCGGTGCGCAGTGCTGGTCAGGGGGAGACCGCGCACCCTCTGGGGCGTCCTGTGATGGGGTGGCAGTGAGGTGACGTGTTTGGGCACGGAGTTCATTGAACACCTGTGGTTTTCTTTTTTTCGATTCAGTGAGCAGTCGGTGGGTAGGGAGGTGCCCAGGGCCACGCTGACGGCCCCTCTGCACAGTGTTCCCACTGGTCGCGACGTGGCTGTGCCTCTCCCTGGGGCTGGCACCTGGAAGTCGTCCACCACGACCTGCGGAGCCTGGTGCCCAGCGGCCGCTCTCTCCTGCCAGCAGGGTCAGGGCTCGGGCCAGCAGCAGAGCCAGACAGGACCTTCCCTCCCAGCCTCCCTTGCAGCCAGGGATGGCCATGTGACCTGCTCTGACCAATGAAGGGCAAGGGGTGGTCCCTGAGCACCTGGGAAAGGTCTCCTCCCCAGAAAAGAGAGGCAGAGGAGGGGCTCTACCCACCTGGCTTCCATCTTAACACCCGGAGCTATGGCAGCCACTTGTGACCTTAAGGTGTCAAGTCCAAAGAAGAAAAGCCAACTGCTGCAGGGGCACACTGTGGGGCGATGGAGACACTGGATTGCCCTTTGCTCAGCTGCTCAGGCCCCCACCTTAGTGCCTCTGGGGCCCTGTCTTCCTCCACCCACATCCAATCCATCTGAGGATGTTGGTGACCTACTTTCAAAACAGACCTGGAATCCTGCCACAGGGCCTTTGCACTGGGGCTCCCTTGACCTGGATGTTTCTCCCCAGTGAGGCAAGGCCTCCTTCCTTATTGCCTTCAGGGGTCTCTGCTCAGATACATCTTCTCCAGAGGGCTGTTCCTGACTGTCCTTATCCCTTTCTGAGTCTCTGCTCTGTGTCACCGGCTCCCCGGTCTGACACCCCGTGAGGGTAAAATTCCCACAAGCCATCAGGACTGGCCACGCTGTTCCCCCTGGACAAGCCCCTCTGCGCCTGACCCAAAGCGACACTCACGGATCCTCACTGTGTGAGGATGGAGCAAAGCCCTGGAAACAAACCCAAGAAGACACAGAAGTGGGTTTAAAGGTAGGACAGAGACGGGAGGCGCCCACCCCTGGCCCGAGTAAGCTGCGGTGCCGTCTGCTCTACTTCAGCTGACCGGGCCTGCCCGCCTGCCCTGTGCAGAGCAAGGTGGGCCCTGCCCACGGAAGCCCCTTCCAGGAGGTGTGGGGGGCGGGCGCAGGGCAGTGGGGAGCTGGGCAGGGGCTGGGCCAGCAGGCATTCACTGGACAGTGACCAGGCAGGGTCCCCTGTTGGGCACAGGAAGTCCCGGAGCCTGCAGGCCGGTGGGCCTCAGCGTGCGTGTGATGACAGGTGACAGCCGGGCGGGACAGAACTGTGGGGTGGGTGTCCTGCCAATGGGGGACGCCAATCCCCAAGGCCAAGCCCCGTGCTGGCCACGCAGCCCCCCCCCCCACCTGCTGTGTCCTTGGGGACAAGTGCCCCGTGCCTGACACGGTGGGTCTCACCCTGTGCACTGACCCCGCCCCGACTCAGGGTGAGCAGGTGGCCGAGCCCCCTCCACCGCTGCCCTGCTCCAGGGGCTGAGGCCTGGGGGCCTCCCGGCTCTTCCCCTCCTGGGTCACGAGCCAGCACTGTCCACCTCTAGCCGTGGCCGGGGCCAGCAGTGCTGGGCAGCCTGTCTGTGGCAGGACAGAAGGAGGCCAGCAGACAGGCGCAGAGGGAAGGAGACAGTGGTGGCCCTGGCCCTGGGGCCAGCAGGACTCCCCTCTGGGACACCACTCTGGTGGACATAGGTCCATCCCGGCCCCTTGCTCTTGGCAGACTGGGGTGTGGCTCAGGGGAGAGCCCTGGTCTGTGTCCAGCACCACACGCACACACCCAGACAGGGACAGAAGAGGGCAGCTGGGGGCGCCCCCCGCTCCCCACCACACAAGACGTCCTGGTGGGGGGGCCTTTCCTGAGTGCGGGGCAGGAAGCCCACGGGACAGGTGCGGGCATTCTGAGGACCTGAGAGGAAGGGACAGAGC